TACTACACACAAACTACACACAATACACACAATACTACTACTACACACAATACTACACAGTACTACTACAACACAATACTACTACACACAATACACACTACACACATACTACACACACACTACTACTACTACACACAATACTACTACACACAATACTACTACACACAATACTACTACACACAATACTACACACAATACTACTACACACAATACTACTACACACAATACTACTACACACAATACTACTACACACAATACTACACACAATACTACTACACACACTACTACACACAATACTACACACAATACTACTACACACAATACTACACACAATACTACTACACACAATACTACACAATACTACTACACACAATACTACACACAACAATACTACACACAATTACTACTACACACTACTACTACTACAACACTACTACACACAATACACACTACTACACACAATACTACACACAATACTACTACACACAATACTACACACTACAACACACAATACTACTACACACAACTACTACAATACTACACACAATACTACTACACACAATACTACACAACAATACTACACACAATACTACACACAATACTACTACACACATACTACACACATACTACACACAATACAATACACAACTACTACACACAATACTACTACACACAATACTACACACACATACTACTATACTACTACACACAATACTACTACACACAATACTACACACAACTACTACTACACACACTACTACTACACATACTACACACATACTACTACACACAATACTACACACACACACACTACTACACACACACTACTACACACAATACTACACACAATACTACTACACACACTACACACACAATACTACACACAAATACACACTACTACTACACACAATACTACACACTACTACACACAATACTACACACAATACTACACACTACTACACACTACTACTACACACAATACTACTACACACTATACTACACACAATACTACACACAATACTACACACAATATACTACTACACACAACTACTACACACAACTACTACACACAATACTACACACAATACATACTACACAACACTACTACTACACACAATACTACACACAATACTACACACACTACAATTACACACATACTACTACTACACACATATACTACACACAATACTACACACAATACTACACACATACACCAATACTACACACTAATACTACTACACACAATACTACACACAATACTACACACAATACTACTACACACAATACTACTACTACACACAATAACTACAATACTACACACATACTACTACACACATACTACTACTACACACAATACTACACACACACACACTACACACAATATACTACACACAATACTACTACACACAATACTACTACACTACACACTACAATACTACACACAATTACTACTACACACAATACTACACACATATACACACTACTACACACACTACTACTACACACACTATACTACTACACACAATACTACTACTACACACAGTATACTACACACTACTACACACTACTACACACAACTACTACACACATACTACACACATATACTACACACAATACTACTACACACAATACTACACACACATACTACAACACACACTATACTACAATACACACAATACTACTACACACTACTACACACAATACTACACACAATACTACTACACACAATACTACTACACACAACTACTACACACTACTACTACACACAATACTACTACACACAATACTACAACAATACTACACACAACTCACACTACTACACACAATACTACTACACACAATACTACACACAATACTACACACAACTACTACTACACACAACATACTACTACACACTACTACTACACAACATACTACACACAACTACTACTACACTACTACTACACACAATACTACACACAATACTACTACACACAATACTACACACAATACTACTACACACAATACTACACACAGTACTACTACACACAATACTACTACACACAATACTACACACAATACTACTACACACAACACTACTACTACACACAATATACACACAATACTACACAATACAATACTACACACAAAACTACTACTACACACATACACACAATACTACTACACAATACTACTATACTACACACATATACACACACACAATACTACACAGTACAATACTACACACACTACTACTACACACAATACTACTACTACACACAATACTTACTACACACAACTACTACTACACACAATACTACACACAATACACTACTACACACAATACTACACACACTACTACTACACACAATACTACTACACACAATACACACAATACTACACACAATAACTACTACACACTACTACTACACACAATACTACTACTACACACACTACTACTACACACAATACTACACACACTACTACTACACACAATACTACTACACACAGTACACACTACTACACACTACTACACACAAACTACACAATAATACTACACACAATACTACACACAGTACTACTACTACACAATACTACACACAATACTACTACTACACACAATACTACACACAATACTACACACACAATACTACACTACACACAATACTACACACAATACTACACACAACTACACACTACTACACACAATATATACACACAATACACACAACTACTACTACTACACACATCTACTAACTACTACTACTACTACACACAAACTACTACACACAAACTACTACACACAAACTACTACTACACACTACTACTACACACAATACTACACACATACTACTACACACAATACTACACACAATACACACTACTACACACTATATACTACACACATATACTACACACATTATACTACTACACACAATACTACACACACAGTACTACACACAATACTACACACACTACACACAATACTACTACTACACACATACTACACACAATACTACACACATACAATACTACACACTACTACACACAATACTACACTACTACACACAAACTACTACACACAAATACTACTACTACACACACAATACTACTACTACTACACACAATATACTACACACAATACTACACACAAACTACACACTACTACTACACACACAATACTACACAATACTACTACTACTACACACAATACTACTACACACAATACTACACACAATACTACACACAATACTACACACAATACTACAATACTACACACAAATACTACACACAATACTACACACAATACTACTACACACAATACTACACACATTACTACAATACTACACACAACTACTACTACACACAATATACTACACACACTACTACACACTACTACACACACTATACTACTACACACAATACTACACACAACTACTACACTACACACAATACTACACACAATACTACACACTACTACACAATACTACTACACACAATACTACTACACACATACTACTACACACAATACTACTACACACAATACTAACACAATACTACACACAATACTACACACAACTACAATACTACACACACACATACTACTACACACAATACTACACACAATACTACTACTACACACACAATACTACACACTACACACAATACTACTACACACACACTACACACTACTACACACTATACTACACACAATACTACACACAACTACACACTACACTACTACACACAATACACTACTCACACAACTACTACACACAATACTACTACACACAACTACACACATACTACACACAATACTACTACACACAATACTACACACAATACTACACACAATACTACACA